ATTTTTTTAACTTTTAATTTTTTTTTTTTTTTTTGCCTCCACAGAAGCACCAACGGGATCTGCATCAAGTAATGTATTTTGCATACTTATGTATTTTTTGGGTGTTGTATTATTCAAGCTGAAACATTACATTTTTAATATTTGTATGCAGTTTCATACCTGTTAAATATATGTTAATTTGAACGTTACTATTTTTTTTTTTGCCTTTACAGAAGCACCATTGGCAGTTGTGTCAGGTAGGTGGGTTTTGCATACTTATACAGGTTTATAGGTGTTATGCGTATTAAAACATAAGCATTAAATTTTTTTATTTTTTATGCAGTTTTATGAATGTTTGGTTTGTGCTAATTTAAAATTTAATTTTTTTTTTGCCTCTCCAGCAGCACCCCTGGCAAATATTTCAGGTAGTGTGTTTTGCAAACTTATGTATTGAAACATAAACATTCAATTTTTTTATATTTGTATAAAGTTTCATGACTCTGTAGTTTATGTTAATTTTTTTAACTTTTAATTTTTTTTTTTTTTTTTTGCCTCCACAGAAGCACCAACGGGATCTGCATCAAGTAATGTATTTTGCATACTTATGTATTTTTTGGGTGTTGTATTATTCAAGCTGAAACATTACATTTTAATATTTGTATGCAGTTTCATACCTGTTAAATATATGTTAATTTGAACGTTACTATTTTTTTTTTTGCCTTTACAGAAGCACGATTAACAGTTGTGTCAGGTAGTGGGTTTTGCATACTTATACAGGTTTATAGGTGTTATGCGTATTAAAACATAAGCATTAAATTTTTTTATTTTTTATGCAGTTTTTTGAATGTTTGGTTTGTGCTAATTTAAAATTTAATTTTTTTTTTGCCTCTCCAGCAGCACCCCTGGCAAATATTTCAGGTAGTGTGTTTTGCAAACTTATGTATTGAAACATAAACATTCAATTTTTTTATATTTGTATGAAGTTTCATGACTCTGTAGTTTATGTTAATTTTTTTAACTTTTAATTTTTTTTTTTTTTTTGACTCCACAGAAGCACCAACAGGATCTGCATCAAGTAATGTATTTTGCATACTTATGTATTTTTTGGGTGTTGTATTATTCAAGGTGAAACATTACATTTTTAATATTTGTATGCAGTTTCATACCTGTTAAATATATGTTAATTTGAACATTACAATTTTTTTTTTTTTTTTGCCTTTACAGAAGCACCATTGGCAGTTGTGTCAGGTAGTGGGTTTAGCATACTTATGCAGTTTTATAGGTTGTATGCATATTAATTTTTTATGCATTTAAATTAGCATTAAATTTTTTTCTTTTGTATGCAATTTTATGAATGTTTGGTTTGTGTTAATTTAAACTTTAATTTTTTTTTCGCTTCTCCAACAGCACCCCTTGCAGTTATTTCAGGTAGTGTGTTTTACATACTTATGTAGTTTTGTGGGTGTTATGTGTATTAAAACATAAACATTCAATTTTTTTTATGTTTGAAGTTTCATGACTGTAGTATATGTTAATTTTTTTTTTTTTTTACCTCCACAGAAGCACCATTGGCATCAGTGTCAGGTAACATGTTTTCACACTTATGCATTTATATGGGTGTTATGTGTATTTAAATATAAACATTAAATTTGTGAAGTTTGTATATAAATACATGATTTAATTGTTTATATATATATTTTTTTTTCTTAACAGCAACACATTTTTCAGTTGCAACAGGTAAAGTGAATTTTAGTCGTTTTTAAAATTAATATGTTAGTCGTTTTATGCAGAATTTATATATATATATACATATATATATATAAATATATATATATATATATATATATATATATATATATATATATATATATATATATATATATATATATATATATATATATATATATGCATATATGGTATGTAATCAAATTTATTGCTTTTTTTTTAGCATCTTGGGAGAGTTTCCTTTTATATCGCTCCCAGCACCCAGGCCCATTATCACAGAGGGCCTTCTTCCGGTGGTGCCAATATGGGGGAGATGATCCCTCCTTTAGATGGAGGAGACAGACCCCATATGGGGCCACCGGTAGGAGGAGTGGTGCTGGGAGGCAGAATGACCAAAGGTCAAACATTATGAATTTTTATCAGTAGTTTTTTTTTTTTTTTTTTGTGTTAATTTATTTATTTGTTGTAAATATATCTTTACGTTTCAAAAAAGTTGTTTTTTAGTTTCGATTTTTGCAAGTATTTTTATTTATTTTTGATATTTTAATTTTTTAATTTTATATTTATTGATTTTTATTTCTGATTTGAGAGTCTAAACTTTCAAAACAACTCTTATGTGGTTAAATGTTAAATAATTTGTCTATTAATTTTTATTTATTTCATATAGTTTTTGATTTCTTGATAGTAAATATTTTGTAATTTAGTTACAATTTTTTCTTATTCTATTTGTTTGTTTTATATGCCTAATTGTTGCATTATACACATATTAATGTTTATATTATTCTCTTTAGATTTTTATTATAAAAAAGTAATCATTAAAGATAGCCACATGTGAACTATATGATGTTACATGTTAGACAAGTTTTATTTGCAATTTGCAATTTGGCATGTCGTTTTTTTATTTGTAAATAATTTTACTATTTAATTTAGTTATTATTAGCATTAAAAAATTGTTAAAATTGTTATAATTTTATTTTAATTTATTTCTAAAATATTTTGTTTTATTACTTTAAATGTAATACTTAGTGGTTCAACTTATGTTTAACTTTTAGGTTTTTCTCTGTTTTAAACCAGTTAAGTTAAGACTTTAGGTCAATAATTTTTATTAGAAAATATATAAATAGTCTTATAGAGTTTATATTGATAATTAGAAATGCACATATTATGTTTTTCCATTTTAGATTAGTATAACAAAAAATTAATCAAATCAACTTTTATCAAACATAGGTTCTTAGTTATGTCAAATAACTTGAGAGCTGAAATAAGAAGAAATCGTCGGAATGAGAGAAATGAGGCTAGGCGAGAAGAACTTAATCGTCGCCAAAATGAAAGAAATGAGGCAAGGCGAGAAGAAATTAATCTTCGCCAAAATGAAAGAAATCAGGCGAGGCGAGAAGAAATTAATCGTCGCCAAAATGAAAGAAATCAGGCTAGGAGAGTATTACATGGACGTGGAATGCATTGCATAGCAAGAAATAATGTTTTTATAGTGAGTAATTACCTTGGAGAAATGAACCATATTTGTCAATATTGTGGTGCCAAAAAATTTTTAAATGAAACACATTTTCTGTGCTGCCATTCTGGAAAAGTTGCGTTAGCTCCACTTTCGCCTTATCCACTGCTCATGCACAATATAATGACAGGCAACCATGTTGATCGTGCTATGAATCAAAATTTCTTCAAGCATATTCGAAGTTATAATGCCTGTTTATCTTTTGCTTCATTCACAGCAAGAATAGCTCCTCCGTCTGATCATGGGCCACCCTGTTTTAGGATTTGCGGACAAATTGTGCATCGTGTTGGTAATCTGAAACCTGATCAAAATGTTCTGCCTGCATATTGTCAGTTATATTTTTATGATCCTAATACTGCTTTAAATTTTCGAATGGAGCAAAATGATTGTTGCATACGTGAGTTGATGGAATTTTTGCAGACTATAATTAGTCAAGAGAACCCATTTGCTCTTGCATTTAAAAACATGGCTGAAATTGAAGATGAAGAAGTACGTCAAGCAGCTTTAGAAGGTCGACCAACTTCGATTGTTAAAATGTCATTGCTTGAAGATGGTGATAGACGTCGATACAATCTTCCTTCACATGAGGAAGTTGCCATTGTTTTTGTTGGGGATGATGGTGCTCCACCTCCATCTAGGGAAGTAGTTATATACCCTCGAGGTCAGGCCTTAAAAACAATTTCAAGTATGTCTGCAAATCTAGATCCAATGATATATCCAATATTTTTTCCAAGAGGTGATGCTGGGTGGCATGAGCAACTAGAGCATCATCCTGACCGAGCTACACGTGTTAGAAATCGGGTTACTTTGTCTCAGTACTACAATTACAGGCTTTCTGTTAGAGAAACCTTTAATCCTATATTTTATGGTAAGAAGCTTTTTCAACAGTATGCTGTTGATGCATATGTCAAGATTGAAGGTCAGCGCCTTGCTTTTATTAGAAATAACCAAAACAGACTTAGAAGTGAACAATATGATACATTATATGAACATGTAAATAACGCTGCAAATAACCTTAATGTAAGACCAGGTCGTGTTGTTATACTACCATCCTCATATGTTGGAAGTCCAAGAGCTTTAAAAGAAAATTTTGAAGATGCAATGACAATTATAAAGAGATATGGCAAACCAGATCTTTTTATTACTTTTACCTGCAATCCAAAATGGAAAGAAATTACAGAAAATTTAAATCCAGGTGAGAGCCCATCTGACAGACCTGATTTAGTTTGTCGTGTATTTAAGATGAAACTTAAATGCTTCCTAGATGATATTTTTAAACACGGAGTCTTAGGTAAAGTTATAAGTCATGTACAGGTTATTGAGTTTCAAAAACGTGGTTTGCCACATGTACATATTTTATTGCACTTTGTAAATGATGATAAGCTAGAAACCGCAGAGGATATTGATAGTCTAATATCAGCTGAAATTCCAGATCAAACTGTTGATCCTGAACTTTTTGAAAATATAAAAACATGTATGATTCACGGACCATGTGGAATTTTGAATCCCAATTTTTCTTGCATGAAAGATGGGATTTGCACAAAAAAGTTTCCTAAAGAATTTAATCCTCACACTGTTGCAACTTTCAATGGCTATCCTCACTACAGGCGTTTAGATAATGGTAGAGTAGTCGTTATAAAAGGTAACCAAGTTGATAATCGATGTGTTGTACCCTACAACCCTTGGTTATCTAAAAAATACCAAGCACATATTAATGTTGAAGCTTGCATGTCTATTAAGTCAGTTAAGTATTTATATAAATATGTCTATAAGGGGCATGATTGTGCTCATGTGTTAATTAATGAAAGTCTTGACCATGATGAAATTAACACATATTTAGATTGTCGCTTTGTTTCTGCACCAGAGGCTCTTTGGCGAATATTTGAGTATTCCATAAGTGATATGTCACATACTATTATCCGCTTCAAGTCCACCTTCCTGATAATCAGAGGGTATATTTTAACGAAGGAGAAGAACGAGTAGCTATAGATCGTGCTGCACAGCGTGACACTCACCTAACCGCTTGGTTTAAATTAAATGCTGAGATAAATGAAGCACGTCAGTATTCTTATGTTGAAATTCCATATCACTTTGTTTTTGATGGTAAAAATTGCAAGTGGAAAGTAAGACAAAGAGGCAGTGATAAGGTGATTGTGCGAATGTATAAAGTCAATCTAACCAGTGAAGTATTTTTTCTTAGATTGTTGCTTTTGCATGTAAAAGGTGCAATGTCTTTTGAGGATTTGCGTACTATTCATGGCACTGTTTTTAATACATTTCGTGAAGCATGTTATCGATTAGGTCTATTGCAAGATGACATTGAATGGAGAAATACATTAACTGAAGCTGTAGCAACTCGAATGCCTAAACAAATTAGGCAACTGTTTTCCATTATATTGACTTTATGTGAACCTGATGATCCTTTACACCTTTGGAATACATTTAAAGATTATATGATTGAGGATTACATACACCATTCAATGCCAGTTGTACTTGCTGAACAGACTGCTCTTCGTCAAATTGAATCTATAATTAATCAGAGTGGTAAAACTTTAACTGATTATAATTTGCCTACATTAGATCAGTTATTAGATAATGTCCTAGAAAATGATGATCGAGATATTCAGGTATTTATTGATGAAGCAAATCGAGTTAGACCATTATTAAACGATAATCAGCGTAATGTAGCTGATGCAATCCTTGCTGCACTTAGTGAAGAACCTAATAATGAAAATAAGCATTCAAGATTTTTCTTTATGGATGGGCCTGCCGGTTGTGGTAAAACATTTACTTACAATTATTTAATTGCTGAAACACGCAGCAGGCATATTAGAACTGCAACAGCTGCATGGACAGGAATAGCTGCAACTCTTCTTAAGAATGGATGCACATTGCACGGCTTATTCAAACTTCCTGTTCCAATTTTGGAAACTAGCACATGTAATGTAACTCCAAACTCCATTCATGGTAGATTCCTGAGACAAGTTAGTTTATATTTACTCGATGAAGCATCTATGATACCCAAACATGCTTTGAGTGCCATTGATAAGTTATTACAAGATATTTGTAATAATAAGTTTCCTTTTGGTGGTAAAGTTATTCTTATGGGTGGAGATTTTCGACAAATACTTCCAGTTGTGAAGAGAGGTCGACCAGCAGATGTTGTGGAATCATGTATAAAGTGTTCTGAACATTGGCAATATGTGCAAAGGTTTTCATTAACTGAAAATATGAGGGTTCAGATAGGAGAAGAGGAATTTTCTCAATGGCTTTTAAAGCTTGGAAGTGGAACATTACCTGTCAAGCCTGAAGATCCTTTGCAAGGGTGTATTGAAATACCTGAGCAGTGTTTTCTCAATGATAATGAATCTATTGTGGAAAAGATTTTTGGTGGTGCAGAAGAAGCTGGTTATGCAAAACGTGCTATTTTAACACCAACAAATGTTGATTCATTGGCAATAAATGAAGAAGTCCTTCATCGATTACCGGGTGATGTTAAAACTTATTTAAGTTTAGATAGCATTGAAACTGATGATCATAATGAAATTTATAATTTTCCAGTTGAGTTTTTAAATACTTTGACTCCATCAGGTATGCCTGTTCATTGCCTAAAGTTGAAAATTGGTGCTGTTATAATGCTACTTAGAAGTTTAGATCTCAAAGGTGGACTTTGTAATGGAACACGTTTGATGGTGCGTGCACTACACAACAATTACATTGATGGTGAGGTTCTAACAGGTGTATCAGCTGGTAACAGGGTATTTGTTCCTCGAGTTCAATTAGCTCCATCAGATTCAAATTTACCTTTTACACTTAAACGTCGTCAATTTCCAGTTAGGTTAGCATACTCAATGACCATAAACAAAAGTCAAGGTCAAACATTTGATAAAGTTGGTGTTTATCTCAAAAAGCCTTGCTTTTCACACGGCCAATTATATGTTGCATGTTCAAGAACAAAATCTTTTAATAGTTTGTTTTTTAAAGTTGATAAACATGCATTACAAGGTATGTCATTTAACAAATATTACACAAATAATGTTGTGTTTACAAATGTTCTTAATTTATAATTTTGACAAGTTTGTTTATGTTTTTTTTTTTTGCTATATAAGTTTATATATGTGAATATATGTTTTTACTTATATATAGATGTTTGTGTTTGTATATGTTTGTTTATATGTGTTTAAGTTTATATTATGTTGTTTCCATGTTTGAAAAGTGGTGTTACTTGGCAACGTGTAGTGCAAGATTGTGATCCTTGCCAGCCAAGTGGTGTTACTAATTAGTGGTGTTACTTGGCACTTAATGCCAAGCGGTGTTACTAAATTGTGGTGTTACTTGGCAGCGTTTAGTGCCAAGCGGTGTTACAAGTGTTGAACTAAGTTGTGTTGTCTAGCTTTTTTAATTATTTTGGAAACACATAATATCTGAATACATTGTGTAATGTGTACTTACAAATGTCATATGTTGTGTATTATTCAGTAGCGTAGGCAGGATTTTTTGATGCTTCAGGTTTTACTTTTATTTTCAGACTCTTTCATTACTTTCAGACTCTTTCATTACTTTCAGACTCTTTTATTACTTTTATTACTTTCAGACTCTTTAATTACTTTCAAACTCTTTCATTACTTTCAGACTCTTTTATTACTTTCATTACTTTCAGACTATTTCATTACTTTCAGACTATTTACTTTCAAACTCTTTCATTACTTTCAGACTCTTTCAACTAAACTTAATTGTGTTCATGTTTGTCAAATTCAAATAATTTGTAAAATATGGATGTGGTTGGGGCTTGAAAACAAATATGTTTTAAAAAGGTTTGCTTTCCTCCTTTGAATTTAGCTGCCAATTAGTTAAAAAAGTATTTTTTTTAAGCATATAATAATAATCTTATTCATTAACAGGTTTTAAATTTCTTATAAAACAACAAAAGTCCTGTCTACACCACTGGTGTTTTTGTTTGTCATTGTGTAATGTTTCTGTTGTGATGTTTTGTGTTGATAGACAGCTTGGCTTACCTTCACGCTGGTGTCTATCGTTAAAAATGATTATTAGCTAGCTTCATTACTGAAACTACTCCTTCTAATCATTCACTAAAAGCCAAGAAATATTTTTTTGAATAAATGCCTAATTTTTTTATCTCACTGTGACTTTTTATCTTTAGCATTGTTGATAAAATAGCTTTTTAAATAAAGAGTGTTTCCAGCCTTCCAATCAAATACTAGAGACTTCCACAAAAGCGATCTCACAAAGTAAGTTTCTTATTTAGTGTTTGATAATTGACTAAGTTTCGTCACCTTTTATATATTTTTTTACATCTTATTATGTAATTTTTCAACATTTAGACAACTTTTAAATAACTTTAAACAACTTTTATATGTGTATTCAGTGTTTTATATAACAATATTTTTCTTCATTTTATAGGTAGATTTCCTGTTATAACTGGTTTAAAAATTGTTAATCGTTAATCATTTTTTAAAAGCGTTTACTTTTTCTAAAGACGTATTACTAATACCATTAGTAATACGTCTATTCATACATTATCAAAAATACTTTATCAAATGTATATTCATACCATTTACTAAAAGCTATCTTCTCTATATATTATTGCCGAACTTAATAGTGTTAGTAGCGCTCTTTCGAGCGTGTTTGACAAACCCATGGCAACTATTGCAACCAAAGTAATGGCGAGGAAGAGTCTCAGCACTTTTTGATAAATAAACGTAAACAAAAGTGTATGCAAATATCTAACTTACGTAAACTTCAAAATATGAAATGTTAAAACATACAAAAACATGTCAAGTTTTACAGTTTTACTTTCACTTAAAAACAGCATTGCGGCAACGTCTCTTAAATTTTGATCGATTTACAAAGTCTTTTATTTATTATATATTTTTGAAATTTTCGTCAAAATGCCGTGGTTAGCCTTACGTAAACTTTTATTTATTATAATTTTAAATTTGTTATTTGTCATGTTATTTTAAGTCGTATTAGCGCAAAGAAATTGGGTATATAACATGTAAATATTTAGAACTATAAAGTTGTTTTGTTTTGCTTTTTAAATAACAATAATTTTATTAAAAAAAGCAAGCTGATGATTTGAACTTGCCACGCGGCGACCTTGAATTTTTTTAAAACAGTGAGGGGGTTTTAAAAAAAAACATTCTTATTTAAAAAAACTTTAAAAATCTTAAATTTATTTTTAAAATAAATTATTTTATTGAACTTATTATTTTTCAAAATAATAAAACGTTAAAACTATTTAATTTAAAATAATAAAAATATTTAGAATTTTACAGTTACTTATTTACGCCCCCGTTAAATATTCTAAACCGAGTGCGCAACTATGACAGAATTTAGAAAACCAATAAAATTGTAAGATACTCTGTTTAATATTGGAAGAGTCTACTCGGATGCTATAAACTAATGGACTCTATTATGTTTCTTTTTGTAATGTTTTTCTAACGGTTAACAAATAAAAGCAAAGCGGAGGTACATCAACTGAGCGTTTAGGTTTGGCCAGGCATATTTTAAATTAAAGAAAAGAGTTTTGATACTTATTTAAATAGGGTTAATAAAATATTTTAAATTATATATATTATATTTAAAAAATTATAAAACTAAATTACATATGATTTTTAGATGAAACAGTAAAAATAATTGTTTAAAATACGTGCGTGCAAATAATTCCTACCAATACTAAACGTAAAAAAACGCTTACAAACACCAAAAGTATATTTACCGTGAATAAAATTAAGTTCAAAGAAAAATTGGAAGAAATGTTTAAAACTGTTTCAATAATAACATTTATTTTTAATTATTTTTGTTGTAAGTTGGGATGAAAAAAAAGGTCACTGGAATATGAACTCCCGGGGTGAGATGACTATATCTGTCTAAGTGTTGCGCGGCTACCAATTAGCCCATAAACGTATTCTCTATTTAGAATTTGAGATAATTTATGACGCATAAGAAGTGTAATTAAAAATTCAAAACCAAGTTTGAAACAACTGAATTTAAAAAAAATCTAATTAGATGTGTATATGTTATGAACGTTAACTAAGGCGTACTTTAACGGCATCACGTGCTGAATGTTTTAGCATTTTTCAAAGTTCGTAGTCTTTTTTACGTTTTTTCTTATTAAAATCTTTATAATCGGCATAATATTAAAAGCGTTTAAAGTTTTTTAAAGAACATTATAACGTTATATAATGAAATTTTTTTGTCATATCAAAAAGTAAGTATAGTTTTTTATATGTACATAGTTTTTAAAACGGTTTTAAAAAAATATTGAGGTAAGGAATAAGTATAGAAAAGGTCGGTGTGGAATAGATTTACTAAGACCCTTATTTTACGTCCTGATAGCTATAGAAATGATCAGATAAGTATAAAAATGGTCGGTTCGGTAAAGACCCGTATTTTACGGGTCCGCCCAGCTAGTTATAATAATATGCAAAAAAATATGTATTTTCGGGGACCAGTAAAAAAATGTGCATTACTATAGCGCTGATTCGAAAATGATTTTAATTTTTGCAAACCAATAGATTCACTGCGACCTGTGTCGTAAGAAGACATAGCATGTAACTTATATTTTAACAAATACTGTAACTTAATTCTTAAATTTCATTATAAAAACACGCAGAAAAATTTTTATTTTCGGGGTTATGCAAAAAATGTGCTTATTTGGGGACAAAATAAGAAAAATAAAAATTAATTATTTGTTTCTTTATCTACTGCTGATTCAAAAATAACTTTAAATTTTTCAAACCAAAAGATTAACTGTGTTCTGACATAATACAAGACATAAAATGTATTCCCTATTTTTACAAATACTATAAATTTACACTTTAACAGCATTTACTTAAAGACATGTACGAAAATGCGTTTTATTAGGAACGAGTAGAAAAAAAAGTTCATTCTCAGGGACTAACTTAAAAAACAGAGTGAATAAAGTTAGTATACTTTGCGTTGATTCATAAAAGATTTGATTCAAAAAATTCTTTTACAAACTAAATGAATAACTATGCTCTTTGAATTAGCAAGGTTTAAAAATAAGGCCATTTATACATTTTTTTTTTAATTAAATAAGCTCTTTGTTTTCTAAAAACTAGTTAGGGGTCGTCAATAAATTACGTCACGCAATTTTTGACCAATTCTGACCTCCCCCCCCCCCCCCCCTCCACATCACAAAATTGCAATACTTAAGAATCAAGTTTTGTATGAGTTGTCATAAAACCACCAACCCCTCCCCCCCCCCCCCTATAGCGTGACGTAATTTATGGACGAGGCCTTAACACAAAACTAGTTCAATTCAGTGAATTTGTTTGAAAACTCCCTTCCCACATGGAAAAAAATATATATTATTTGCTTAAAAAATAAAACTTTTTTAAAACTTTTTTTTAATTAAATTGAATTTGTTAAACGATTTTAAAATTAAAAATACATTTTTTTTGGTAGAAAAATGAAAAAATAATAGTAAATCAAAAATATAGGTAAAATCTTCAGTATTGAAATAAATTTAAAATGTAAAAAGAATTAAAAATCCCAAAAGAAAATCTTAAAATCTTGGTTCAGATATAGTTACTCCAATATACCCAGTGACAGATCCAGGATCTTTTGGTGATTGAGATAGCTAACTTTCATACATAGAGCAATCTCCAATTATTAGTATGTTTATACTTATGTCAAATAATGTGACTGTTCAAAAAATTGCAACGAATGGAGGCATGGACCGAAAAAGCCATTTGACTTCATAAATCAAACATGAGGGGCAACAACTTGATAAAAATTTTTTTGTACTTTTCTCAATAAGATTTTATATTCATTGATAAACTTCAAGTTTCAGAGTATTATCTCTGAGCGTTCAAAAATTATAACCATATAAAGTTTAAACCCCCTCAATATGAGGGGGTTACAATTTTATATGGTCATAAGTTTTGATCGCTGAGAGATAATACTATAAAACTTAAAATTTATTGATGAATATAAATCTTATTGATAAAAGTACAAAATTTTTTTATCAAATTGTTGCCCCTCACGTTTAGGGTAAGGAGGATAGGGGGTAAAAAACTTCAAGGGCTTTTTTGTAACCTGCCTTCAATCATCGCAATTTTTTGAACAGACTAATTATTTGACATAAGTATAAACATACTTATGTTTGGAGTTTGCTCCTGTCTGGAAGTTAGCTATCTCAATTACCAAAAAATCCTGGATCTGTCATTGAATACCTACAACTTATTTTAAATTAGTTGCTAAGTAAAAAATGCCCTGAAAATTATCAGAATTAAAG